TGGGTTCACTGTTACATTTTGTTCATCTCTTTGTGGTAATACTAAACTGTGTTTCTCTGAGTACCACTTTAGAAGCATTTGAGATTTTGGTTGCTCAAATAGTCGGAAATTGCAAAAACTTGTAAATCGACTATCCATAAGTAGGACCAAGCAGATTCTCGTTCTTGTATCAGTTTCTACAAGTTCGCTTTATGAGATTTGGCACAAATTTGTGGTGTATGGAGAGTCTATCAATTCCATGCTTATAAAGATGAGAGCCTCTGGTTTTGGCTTTGATTGTTCTGTACTTTAGCTATTGTGGATCATAGCACAAGTAATACAACATGTAGCATCAGAAGATGTTCATATGCAGGAGTTATTGGGGCGATCATAGCATAAGCAATTGAACATGTAAGAAATGTAGCATCCCATTTGTCTGAGAAGATGTTCATGTTGCAGGAGTTATTGGAGGAGGAGCTGGCTTAGTGTCTAAACATCGGAAAGCTCATCCCAATATTCCCACTATTTACGCTACTAATTGTGCTATTGTCGCCGGTTGCTATTGCGGTACCTAATTATCTTCTTTGCTTTAATGTGCAACAAAATCGCTTACCGTGTCTGCGCTTTTCCATTTGTGTCCTCAAGATTGATGATATCTGTGTGTTTGTTTCCATCTTCTCTAAGATGTGGACTGTCATGTTACGTGAACATTGTGTGATCGTCTCAATCTTTTTGTGTTTGGTAGGAGCTCGTGAATTTGTGAGAATAACTCGAAGATCAGAACACGGTGATTTGATGAACTCAGCTATTGGAGGATTTTTCAGTGGTGCTTTGCTTGGACGACTTCAAGGTTTGTTTATCGTCAACATGTCAGGCAGTATCTTGTATCTACTCTACTTTCTTCCTCATTCTTTGTCCAATCTTTAATGAAATTTCCTGAGGATTTAGCTGTCTTAATACTCTCACGTAGTCTGACCATGAGAGTGTTATTTGGAATGATCTTTCATGAATGTATATTTGGTAATTAAGCCTGGAACTGACATATCAGTGTTTGCAGGAGGTCCTCATGGTGCATTTCGCTACTCTATAATATTTGCTGCGGTGGGCACAGCGTGCGATTATGCTGCCCTTAGAGCAAAACTAATGTTAGAGAGGTCCCGTAACATGGATTCTCTCAAGTTACCTGAATGGTCTCCTATTCAAATCCTCGATGAAGAAGCCTTAGCAAAGAAGAGAGCTCAAGAGCAGAAAATATTCGCAGAAAGATCCCTTGGCAGATTGAAAAATGAAGAGTCTTCTTGACAACTTTGGTTCCTGAGGTTGGCATTTTGTTTCTGGATTTGCTGTTTCGTGAAAGTAATTCTAGATCTTTTAGAATAGACTTGAGGAGAGATTTTCTGTTGTGTTTCCTCTAAGGAAAAAAGTTTTTTTTTTTTGGCACAAGAAAACTCGTTGGAGACAGAGACAAGTTGTATGGTGAACTACCATGAGCG